TTCTTTAAAACGAGATAATGAAATAAGCAAAATTGTAGAGCGAAAAAAGCTCTACAAAACTATGTAAGACAATAATTGTTATCATATTCTGATAAGAGTCATTTCCATATGATAGTCTAATGCTTTGAACCTAAATATTTGATCATACCCCTTCGATGTTCCATATAGGAAAAATTCTTAAAATTGAACAGGAACCAATCTGATTTATACACCATTAGATGTAACTTTTCAAGCTCTACAAAACCCTGTATTTTGTTTTTTGAAATGAATAAGTTGAGAAATCCGGCAGGGTCCTTTATAATATTCTGAACCTTAATGGTTGATATAAAATGATGCCTTCCTAAACTATACAAGATTCAAATCTTTTCAGCTAAAAGAATACGATTCTCTTCTCATGGTACGGTAAGCGTTCATCTCCCGAGAAAAAAATGCACTATAATTTCCTTAAAATAATTATTCGTTGCTAAGAAAGTAATTTTTTCGAAGTAGTATCAAAATGCTATACAATGGGCAAGTCTTAGACAACATAATTCATAATTAGATATTCATATGAAAAAAGTATTTCAAAAACACAATAGTTGATTTTTTTCTAGGCACCAGAACGCTTACTATAGTATTAAAAAAGTGAAATGCCATTTAAGAATGAGAATACTTGATTCTTTCATAGTCCAGAGTTGCTATTTTTTTCATAAAATATCATTAGAGCTCAAATATATTATTTATTCACGTGATATTTGAACAACGCCAACAATTTATTTTTTCACATTGAACTTGGCACAGAGAATCTAGAAATAATTTTTTGAAAACCTTCTACAGAACGAATAAAAAAAATGTAATCAATTTGCTCTTTTCTTTCTATAGAAAAAAACTGAAAAAAATCAGTAGAAATTCATTTGAACTGCGTCTATCTATGGTATGTAGGACATTTACTTCCAAGTTTTGTCACGCCGAAAATTCTCTTTGAAATAGTAAGCTAGATTTTCGAAAAAATATTATTGAACAAATGAAAATGTGTCTAATAAGAAAGTTATTATTTCTCCATGCATACTCATTATATTATGGGAAAATTTTCACAATCGATAATTATAACGTTTGTTACTTTATCAAAGTAAATAAAAATCGGATTAAAATCTTGCATTGGAAAATTGATGATATTTCATACTGATACCGATTCCACAAAAGACTCATAACTTTGTCAAAATGACTAGATCCATCATGAAATTTCGAAAAGCTAAAACACTTTTGGATCTAACAAAAGATTTTTATTTTTCTACTATAAATTTCTAGATCGTTTTTCACTTTTCAAAGCAAGAAAGGAATAAGAGTTACATTCAGAGGAAGTGTCAGAAAGGAAGAATCTGCCGCTAAAATGATGGTTCAATAATATAAATGACGAAATTTTTTTAATATTTGAAGCAGTGAACAGTTATTTTAAATCACAGTAAAATTAGCAAAATCAGCATCTACTCTGTCGTACAAGTGTAAAAGTTAATAAAGCCAAAAAAAGCTTGTAAAGAATCTTTTGAAATGGATCTGCTAAAATTTGAAACGTGTAAAAATATTTTACACAATACTCTGTAATTTTCAATGTGACTTTCAAAATGTTAATAGCATATATATAAATAGGAGAAACAATCGTGAATTAACATAATTTTGAAATACTAAAAAAAAAGAAAGGTGCTTCCGAATTAATCTGAGCTGTTGTTTTCGTTTGATTCGAAATTGTGTAAATGTTATAAGTGTACGAGTTAATACATACATCATATTATTCAGAATTTAATTGTGCGTCAGATGGTACGAAAATCAGTATTTTATATAATACATTTGACTTGAGATTAGATAATTTTTCATAATGCATTCAAAAATATCTTCAGATATTTTCTATTTTTTGATGTGTAATACTTCGCTTTTAGAATCGACTTAGATGATCACCCGCTAACATAAATCATTTCTTATCCGTAGAATCCATGACAACTATATGCAAAAAACAAACTTGGCAGTTTTGTAGAGCATTAAATTTTCTGTTTAGCTAGATCGGAACTAAAATTCGAGCAAGTGTCAATTTTTCTAACCACACACACACAGTGAGATTATGGACTTCTGAAAAGTTTATATTTGAGAGCTTATTTCAATTGTTCATACAGATAAATTATTAAGAAGTTTGTGTTAGTTTTCAATTTCAAAAGCCAAACTGTACAAGACTTCCTAGAAAAACATTAACATTTCGATATCTTTATCATTGAAGTTTTGTTTTAAATCAAAATAAATAGAAAATTGGAACTTAACACGATAAACTACATCAGACAATCTGTACTGTCAGCTACAAATGTCTTTGGTTTGTCGAGCATTTCTGAGGAAATAAAATACATGATTTTTCTTTTCTTTCATACAAAAGTATCTATTATTAGTTATCGTTACATCTAGAATACTTTTTTTATTCAATGTTAAATCACTTGCAAGAAGTTTCTTTTTTGTTCCGAATTTGGAGAACATATCTGTTATTTGTGATTTTTCACCAAGATATATACATATCGTATCAAAATTACTTCAATTTTTAAAAATATTTATATCAGGTTTTAGTATAATCTATATAACACTCTAAAAAAAGAATTCTATCAGTACAACTAATCTCAAAGAAGAACATATCAGACGAATATCATAAGAAAAGTAATAGATCCAACAGTAAATAGAAATTTGTTGTTTATATTTCAAATATTCGTATCGATCTTTTATAAAGTATTATATATAGGGATTGCCCTATAGGTTTTTTAGCCATTATCTGACCCTCTTTTGTTATATATATAGAGTTCAGGTATGATTCATTATATATAGATATTTCAATTGTATATGCTAGAACAAATGTATGATTTAGTACTCAACTGTTTGTTTTTTTCTTGAAACAAAAAACAGTCTAACTAAATTTTCGTTGATTCTATTGCATTCAAAACATTTCATAGGATCATCAGCAGAGAAGGAGTATACATATGAAGGTTATTAGTGAATGTTTTTAGTGATTGCAATGAAATATGATGATGATAAAGAGAAAGAAAAAGACTCAAACTTCCGAGCGATGTTGGAGTGTTTTGATAAAGTAGAAATAGATTTTTTTGAGAGAGAGAGAAAAAAGATTAAAAAGTATCCATAATCTAGAAAGTACAAATGTAATCATGAGTGTAAACAGAGAAAATGAGTTTAAAATTGATTCATGTTAGACAATAATCAATATATCTGTTCATTTAGACTCGTCTCTGAACAAAAAAAAACACAAAAGTTAAGAACTCTTAACGCTCAATTATTTTTTCCATTTTAAAAATTATCCTATTAAAAGAAACATGCAAGACAATTTTTAATTTCTTCACATAACATCTTTAAGATACTAGAATCAATATATATATGAAAAATTCAGACATAATAAACCTTTATCATTTTTGAAACAATGAGTTGGAGTATTCAAAAAAAAAAATAATTCGTTCGATTTCCGAAAAGAAATCTATTAGAATTCTGACCTCTCACTGGAGATTCATGAAAAAAGAGAAACAGTAGCTTGATTAATCTCTCTTCGATAGTGACTTAAAATATAACGAATGTTACAAAAGTTCCTCGAAAAATTTCAAACTGTTGTATTTGAACAGAAAACAATAGAAAGCTAATTCTTTTTTTCTTTTGTTAGATAGAATTTGGTTTCTACTTTCAAAGCACATGTTTCACAGATTTCTATTCATGCACTAGTAACAAAATCTATTTGGTTTTTATGAACCTCCTAAAAAGCAGGCCACAATGCTGTGCAATTACTCAAAGACTACCTACAGCTCTATCTAAAAAAAAAGGTTAAGCCTGTTCTCACCTTCTGTTCACTTATAATAGATCTGACACTTTTCCACGAACTTTTGCAACACCCGTTGTGTTACACTATATTGTAACAGAATTATGGATGTCCAACAATCTATCAAAGTTATTATTATCTTTACTACTCACATTGAATGTCGTAAAACTCGATTTAAGTTCAATCGATTACTTTTCATCTCCTCTAACTACATGCGCCTGTTTTTTTACGACTTAGCTCTGCTTTAGTTATTTTCCTATCTAAGATGGTTGCATGTAGTAATTATTTTCATAAGGCTAATATTTTCTCGATCTGAAAAAGAAAAAAAAAAACAAAATTGTGTTCACTATCATACATGAACCTACTCTTGCTAGAATGTACATTTTACTTTCTGATAGAAAAGAGAACAAAGAGAAAGAGTGCCTGTCTAGATTAGAATAAGCCAATTATTTTCACTCAGATTCAAACTCTACATAATAAGTCGTCCATTCTTTCCTAGAAAAAAAAAAGAAATGTGTTTTTCCATGTTTTTTTGATATCAAAGACACAAATAGGAAACATGAATCCAAAAAATGAAATATTCAATCAGAAAATAGATTATCTATTATGAGAGAAGTTATCGCAGCTCGATTCGATCGTGATTGTAAGTTTCAATGAATACGTTTAAAAAAAGTTAAATATCTCTTCTGATAAATCTTTTATTAATTCTTTCTGATCGTATCTGTTAAATTACAAATATCTCATGGATTTCATAGCAAAATGAAGAATTCATTTTCAATGAAATTACTTTTTATTTCTACTGCATACTTTTGTTTTATTTTAGTACCAATGCGTGCAAGTTCCACTGCCATTCATCCCACTGCAACATGGTCAACCAATGGTACCACTGTTGCTGGAGGGAACGGACAAGGCAGTGAAACCAATCAACTCTATAACCCACATGGTTTGTACGTCGACGATGATCTAACGATTTATGTCGCTGATCAATTTAATCACCGTATTGTGGAATGGAAACCTGGTGCAACGAATGCCACAGTAGTTGCAGGTGGAAATGGAACTAATCAATTAAATCTCCCAACAGATGTGATTATCGACAAAGAGAGCGATAGTCTCATCATCAGCGATTTCGATAATAGAAGAGTACTGCGATGGCCTCGTCGAAATGGTACTCGTGAAGAAACAATTATTTCAAATATTGCTTGCGTCGGTTTGACAATGGACGACAATGGTTTTCTCTATATGGTTGACTATGGAAAACATGAAGTGAGACGATATAAAATTGATGATACTCAAGGCACAGTGGTTTTAGGTGGCAATGGACAAGGAAGTCGCCTCGATCAACTCTCGCTACCCCAAAATGTATTTGTCGATCGAGATCATTCAGTATATGTGTCTGATCATTACAATCATCGTGTCATGAAGTGGGAAGAAGGTGCAACACAAGGTACTATTGTAGCCGGTGGTAAAGGATATGGAAATAATCTTACACAATTGAATCATCCTAATGGAGTCATTGTCGATCAATTGGGTACTGTCTATGTGGCTGATTCTTGGAATCATCGAATCATGCGTTGGCCAAAAGGAGCCACACAAGGAACTATTATTATTGGTGGAAACGATTATGGAGCACAGTTAAATCAACTCGCTATTCCAATAGGCTTATCATTCGATCGACATGGTGATCTCTATGTCGTCGAACGCCGAAATAATCGAGTACAGAAATTTAATATCAAATAAACTCAATTCGTTTGATTAATTTTTTTGTCGCGTTCTTTTTTTCCTCTTTCAAATAAATCGTGATTGAATGAAAAAATGCATTGAAAACTAATTGATTCTCGCACGCACGCGACTAGGAATGACCCTGGTGGAGCCATGACGAGCGTAATGATAATGCACGCGCGGGAAGACTCACATCCTTCACATGCACCCATTCGATGACATACGTCAGTGAGTCTGGGGGCCCGATCGTGTGCCATGGTCACCAAAGCAGTTCGTGATCGGGCTTATAGGGACTACCCGGAAGTCCTTCTTATAAGACGAACCTAACCTCAGCGTACCCCCTCTCTAACACTCACTCTTCTGAGTCTCATCCAAAAAAAAATAAATAATTACTCACCCGTTGATGTTGAATGATGATGTCTAAAACGAAAAGAAAAAAAAATATTAGACGATAAAAAAAAGGATAACTTACTCCTGTTATCTTATTCTTCATTGATCAATGGCTAAAATTTAAAGAAATTACATAAAAAAGATCATAGGAGAACTTACCAACCTCCATATGATCGTGAAAACAAAAAAAGAAAATTAAAACTAGTACCTACATTTTTTTAGTGTCTTGTATTGAATTGAATTGTATAATTTTGTATCGTCGAACTCATTCTAAAATATAAAAAGAAAAGGGTGTGGGATGTGGGTGTGGGTGGGTGTGGATGTGGGTGTGGGATGTGGGTGTGGGTGGGTGTGGATGTGGGTGTGGGATGTGGGTGTGGGTCTATATTTCATACACACCCACACCCACACACCCACACACCACCCACCACCCACACTCACATATCCACACCCATGCTCACATATCCATACCCACACCCATACCCACCCACACCCCACACTCACACCCACACCCACCCAAAATTAGATTCGGAACATACCTGATGATGAACCCTTAAGCAAGGTTAGAAATGATCATCGTATGACTGCTTGATTTCTAAAAAATTCTTCTATATATACACACCCACACCCTCTTCTTCACACAACTTAACCATGATCGATAATTATGCACACATTAAAACTACTAATATGATAATCAATAGAGAGTTTCACTAATGACTCGGTGTAATGAATTATAGAAGTCTTTTTTCAATCCAAGTTCGAAGATTGAAATGCATTCACTTCTCAATAGAAATAAATGAAAAAAATTGATTTGATAGAAAGAAATCAATCTGTAAAACGAATATTGATAATACAACCTTTGATCTTCATGCATCATACAACTTCTGTTTGACAGTTTCTGTATTCTTCATTTACAGACATGATTGATCTAGCAGCCATACTGATGAAGTATATAACCGAACACGAAAATACTTAGGGATGCACCAATTCCAATTCCAACCAATCCCAATTCCAATTCTTGGCTTGGAATTGGCGGAATTGGTTGGAATTGGAGTTGGAATTGGTCGGAATTGGTTTGAAATTGGTCGGAATTGGTTGGAATTGGTCTATAATTGATCAGGATCGATCTAGAATCGGGCGAAGTTAGTCAAGAATGGATCAAGATTGATCAAGAACTGACTGGAATTGGTGTAGAATTGATTTATAATTGAGTTATAATTGATATGCAACTAATTAAGAATTGGTCGAAATTCCTATGGAATTAGCATTGTTTAGAAAAATTTCTATCTAATGTGAATGTTCACATGATACTTTATATAGTACCATAAAAATATCTTCGAATATGAAGAAAAAGTTTTTTTCGAAAATTTCCCCTAGGGGGTAGAGGGATTTTGAAGATGCATTTGTTTCAAAAACTCTGGGGGGTGCACTCTAAAAACCCGTTTTCTCGGAAACCTATACAAGGTTTCCGAGTTTGTCACTATATGAAACCCTTTATAGGTTTCCGAGAAAGGGTTTTCGAGTTCTCGCAAACCCTTAAAAGCAATTAAAAAACCTCAAGATCTCGAAACGCATTAGAGATTTCCGAGGCTTCGAAAACCTTATATAGCTTTCCGACAGCTACTCACAATACGACTCACTGATCTATATCTGTCGTCTTATTGTAACCGCTTATTCTAACACCTAATCTAAGTCTTTAATCTATATCTATCTCCTTACTCTATCCCCTAAATGTATCCCCTGAATCTAACTCCTTAATCTAATCCCTTATTCTATCTCTTATTCTGACATTTATTCGATTCCCTTATTTTAATCCCTTAATCTAATCCCTTATTCTATCATTTATTAGATTCCCTTATTCTAACCTCTTAATCTAATCCCTTATTCTATCCCTTATCCATTCCCTTATTCTAATGCCTTATTCTAATCCCTTATTCTATCCCCTTATTCTATCATTTATTCTATCCTGTTATTCTAATCCCTTATTCTATCTCTTATTCTATCCTTTATTCTGACCGGTTAGTCTAATCCCTTATTATAATCCCTTACTCTACTCCCTTATTTTAACCCCTAATCTAACTCCTTAATCTATATCTATTCCCTTATTTTAACCCCTTAGTCTAACCCCTTATCTGATCGTCTTATTCTAAGTCCTTATTCTACATCTATTTCCTTAGTCTAACCCCTTATCTGATCGTCTTATTCTAAGTCCTTATTCTACATCTATTTCCTTATTCTAACCGCTTAATCTAACTCTCGTATTTTGATTTGAATTTCACTATTGGTGAACATGTATTCACAGTATAAAGAGACAAGAAAAGCTCCTCAATATAAACTCATGAATTTCGTCGAAATCCTTTAGTGTTATGTCTGTTAAAGCGAATACTATGAAACTAGTGAAAGTCCCCAAGTGTATATGACTGTTAGATCCAGAGTCATATTGTTAGCTGAAATCCTAAAGTCTTCAAATCTGCCAAGGACTTAGACATGATATCAGTCAAAATATTGAATCTTATGAAAGATAGGGACATGAACTTAATGGAATTGCTCAAGCGTTCCGTTTTCCAAATTCGCGGTCATGAAGTTAGTGAAATTGGTAGAAGTTGGAAGTCTCCTAAATAGGTATGTCATTAATTTAGTTTGAATTCTGGAGTATTTATGTCTCCTACGACCGGCGTCATACTGTCAGTCTCATCGCTATAGTCTTCATGTATTCCTCCGAAAAGCTGATTGAAAAAGTTAGTCTTAATCCTGTTGTGGGTGTGGGTGTATGTGTTAATAAGATCTTCTCATCACCCACACCCACACCCACACCCACACCCACACCCACACCCCACACCCCACACCCACACCCACACCCACACCCACACCCACACCCCACCCCACATCCACACCCACACCCACACCCACACCCACATCCACACCCACACCCACACCCACACC